TTTAGGAATAACTCACTATTCTTTATAAAAATTTTCTAATATAACACATTTGGAAAAGGTTTATAGTTTTACCTGTGGTAATCTCTATTAATAGCTAGTTTTTATTTATTTTTTGTATTTTTATCTTTCTCTTTATTTTTTTCTTTCTTCAAAAATGTCGGGTTTTCTTGGTACTTCACTTGCTGTACTTGCAGATTCTTCCAAAGCTACTCACCTATTTTTGTATCCTGAAGCAAACAAGGTATTTATGGATTTGAATTTGTATAATAATTGACAAAATGTATCGATATAATTTATATTTGAGAAGTGTGTTGCATATGGTGAATTTAGGTGTGGGTATAATAAAGATAAGGAAGATACCCGTATCCTCTTTTATGGATTTCGATACATGTAAGCCTTAATATATATTATACGTATACTATGGCAACTTTGAAATTACTCAATTTATCCAATTACAAACAATTGGTATATTTGAATTAGAATTGAAAATTATGTCGCTAAACAATGGACTTTACAAGACGTTGAATTAGCTGAAGAATTCTATGAAACTCATAATTTTAATTACACGAGTTATCCTTTTCCAAAAGACCTATTTCTCAAGGTATCTCGAAAAATATTGTGTTACCAATATTATTTAAATTTTTTTTTTAATTATCAACTTTATTTTTTAGTTTATTGAAGAAAATGATGGTTATTTTCCCATAAAAATCGAAGCGTACCGGAAGGTACTTCTTGCCATACGCATACGCCCGTTTATCAAATTACTGCTGAAAACGAATATGCACCGTTGGTAACATTCATGGAAACCTTGCTAACTATGACTTGGGTAATTTTGTTGATCATGTTATTTATTAACATGTATTTAATTGTTAATAAGTTATACGTATGGTTTTTCTAATATTTATTTTGTTTGTGGCATAGTATCCATCTACTGTGGCAACACTTTCACGACGTGCACGTGATATATTTGAACAAGCATATTTTGATACTGTGGATGAAGAAGATTACGGTACATTGGAAGGGTAAATATTCTATGTTAAAATATTTACTTATCACTATATGATGATGCAATTAATTCATTTTAAAGTTTAAAGTCGATTATATGATTTTGGTTTCCGTGGTTGTACTTGCCTTGAACAGTCTATAATCGGTGGATCTGCCCATTTGGTTTGCAATAATTTCTTATAACTATGTTTAATTATTACAATAATGAGTATTTACCGTTATAATATTTAAAAAAAGGTCAATTTCACCAAATCTTCTACGATGAGTGCTAGTTATTACGTTCAGTATAAACTCAATAATAGAAAACCTGTTGGAAATGCCATTCCTGCCACAGATCATTCAGTTATGACTGCGCATAAATCTGAAAAAGTATGTTTATTATATATACAAATCACTCTTGTTACAGAGAACTCTCGATATAGTTTCTTATTATAGCGAATTTACTTACATAGTACTCGAATATAATGAATTTTTATATTAATAAAGATAATGACTTGTATATATACATGTTTTTTAAGAAAAGAAGCATGATCTCATCATAATTACTCGCTTAAATATTTAGGATGCTATTTTACATATAATCAGACGTTTCGGCTCCGGTATCTATGCATGTGTATTGGACTCCTTTGATTATGCCAATGCGCTGAATAATATTTTGCCATCGGTCGCTGCTCAAAAACTTGAAAAAGGTGGTGTAATGGTGATCCTGTAGAAGTAATTTTAATGGCGCTCAGGTAGGTCTATTATCTTATTTTATTTATATATACTAAATAGTACTATTGATTTTTTTTAAAAAAATATTATCATGGTTTTCAGGGCTGCTGACAAAGTATTTGGAAGTTATACAAATAAAAAAGGTTATAAAATTCTTCGTGGTTGTTCTGTT